CATCACCATGCCTGGCTAGCCACAGTTAAATGTGCTCACACTTCTGCTTTCTATCTTCTTTCTTGATTAAAGATATCATTTGTCACTGTCACACAGGAGGCTCAAAGTTGGACCCTTCATAAAAGCATTTGTGGGCTGGGGATATAGCTCAGTGGTACAAGTGCTTGCTGGGCAAGCGCAAGGTCCTGAGTTCAACTCCCGGCAGCAAAAAATAAAACAAAACATAAAAGCATTTGTTTGTTTTTGAGATGTAGGAGTGTAACTCAGGGCCTCGCACGTGCAGGACCAGCACTCTCTCCCTAGCTACAGCCCCAGCCCCATAAAAGCATTGAGAGAAAAGCTGAGGACCTGGTCTCACCAATGTCTGTGCAGGGAGGGACCTCCCCAAAGTGTGTCCTACTCCTAGACTTTGGGGGGCTAGGACACAAGCCAGGCAGTGGTTCTCACACTTGGCTGCTGTGCCCTAACTTTTAAAACCTGGGGAGCTTTTTTAAAAACTCTAACATCTGGAACCCTTCCAAGATCAGTTTACTGGGAATCACTGGGGTGGGCCCCAGGCTTGAATATCCTACAGCTCCCAGGCGGCTGCAGTATGCATCCAGGTTGAGAACGCGTCTCTAGTGTTCTCCTCGGCTGAGATCTGCGCGTGCATTTCTGGTGCAGAGGCCGGCAAGGAGGCCCCACAGCATGGAAGAAGAGCGGCTCCCAGTTTGCCTCCGGTACCGCCCGCCACAGTGTACGCACCTGTTTCAAATTAACCGATCTTAAAAACTTAAAAAGTGAACAAATGAGCTAGCAAGGCAGAAGGGAGAAAGTAAGAGAAAGGATGTGGATTTGAACTAAAAATTAAGAAAGAAGGCCAGAAGACAGCAGGACAGGTGGGCAAAGTCAGTCCCCAGGTCTCTCCAACGCGCCCCGATGGGGATTTCAACAGTCTTTTCATTGGCATAGGTGATACCTGTATTTTCTTTTTTTTTTTTTTTTTTTGTCTTTTTGAGACAGGTCTCACTATGCAGTTCAGGCTGGCCTTGAGCTCACTTTGTAGCCCAGGCTGGTCTCGAACTCATAATGATCCTCCTGCCTCAGCCTCTTGAGTGCTGGGATTACAGGCGTGCACCACCACACCCAGCCTTTGGATTGTCTTTGAAATCATGGAACTTGCATGTTTTAGGGGCCTGCCTGACCCAAAGGATGGGGAGGGTCTCTCCACAGCCTCAAGAGGGCCTGAGCAACTCTATTCTGGGAGAAGGAGTCCTCATGGCTCTGACACGGCCCTGCTCTTGGCCAGAGGACTAATGCTAGAGTCTTGATGGTTTTTTATTTTGGTTGTTGAGAAAGGGTTTCACTAAGTTGCCCAGGCTGCCTCAAAGTCATGATCCTCCTGTCTCAGCTTCCTATATGCCAGGATTACTGCTGTGCACCACTGCATCCAGCTAGAGCCTTATTTTCTCGAAACCTCTGAACAACGCCTTTGCGGGGAGGCTCACCCCAGCTCTGAAGTGTCACCACCACTATTCTCTCTCTTAATTAAATCAGCCTACTTTGAGGCTGGCCTTGCTTTAGGCTTCGTATGATCACCATGGATTTTGAAGTTTTGAAGGTGGTGTGTGGTCCAATTAAAGTGTGTACACACGGGAGGGGGCTCTTCTAGACTCTGGCAGCGCAGAGCAGGCGCTTTGTTCTCCCCAGCGCCAGGCAGCCACCTGTGCGCGAGGACCAGGGCTGCACAGCAGAAAAACCCCACCCAGGCACAGCTGTGAGCTGCCTTCAGCTCTTAAGGTGGACAGTACAGGTGGGATCTTGCATCATTTGATAAAGCACCTAAAGGCCCGGTAACTTTCCCAGTTCCCCAGCAGACGCCTGCCACCAAGGCTCCACGGCCACTCCCCAAGCTGCCCTCTCCCACCGACTGGCCTCGGCCCCTCTGCAGCTCACGGAGTGGCCCAGTCTCTCGGTACCAGGGACTCGGAACCAAGGAAGGAGCTCCTCTGCTCTCCTGCACTCACAGCTCCTCCTCTTGGCTTGTGGTTTTCTATTTGCAAGAAGTTACCTCTCTGGACCGTATTTTTTCCTTCTCCAAAAGAGTTCCATTCATCTGGCCTATTTTTCCTCTCTAAAGGAATCATATGGGAGTAGTGTTATTAATGTGTATATGTTTTGAGCTTCTCACAGGAAACAAAGGTTAAAAATGATCTGCTGTTATTCTGCAAAAGAAATCTAAGAACTGAAGTTCTGCTTACAGGAGAGGAAAGGGTTAAAGCAACTACCACTTTCAAAACAGACATTTCTGGCCCTGCCTGGTTGATCTGTTACATTTTCTTTTTTTGCGGTACTGGGGATTGAACTCACAACCTTGCACTTGCCAGGCAGGCGCTTACGCCACTGAGCTATATCCCCAGCCCTGATCAGTTACATTTTCTATGCTGCACATTTGCTCCGTTGCTCTCTGCCTCCTGTCCCCAGGAAGGCAGTCTTAGATGTCTAGGCCACCCCGCTAAAAGGAATAAAGGCAGCGGCACCCCTGTAATCCGGGCACTCTGAGAGACCCAGTCAGCAGGATGCAAGTTCAAGACTAGTCTGGGTAACTCATGGAGACCCTGACTCAAAATAAAAAATAAAAAGGGCTGAAGATGCAGCCCAGGGAAAAAGCTCTGAGTTCAATCTCCAGGAAGAAAAGACAAAGACAAGACAAAGAAGACACAAAGGGGACAATGAAGCGAGAGAGAGGAGGAGCAGGAGCAGGAGGAGGAGCAGGAGCAGGAGCAGGAGGAGGAGCAGGAGCAGGAGGAGGAGGAGGAGGAGAGAAGAGGGCCGGCAAAGCACAGGAGCAGGTGGGCCGGGGAACTTGAACAGACCTGGCTGGTCTCCAGCTTGTGGGAGAACTACATGACCAAACACAAGATCTGTAACACATTCTGTTGTCGAGGTTGTGTTTTGATGTAAGAGGATACTATGTTGAGGGAACCTGGGGTGAAGCTTAGCTTGGCATAGGTGGTCTGTTCAAACAAGCAGATTACCCCTTTCTTTATCCACACACTAAGAACACATGTTTACAGTTTGGAAACACAGTACGTATAGGGTAGCAGCAAAGCCCCGTGGTTAAAAGCACAGCCTTTGGAGCCAGACTGCCTGGGCCCAAATACTGGTTTGGCTGCTTCTTACTAGCTATGTAATCTGGGGCAAGTAATTAGTCTCAGTTTTCCCATCTGTAAAACAGGGATAATAATAATACCTATCTCACAGGTCTGTGTGCGAGGGTTAAGTGGTTAATACGTGTCAAGTGCACGGAAGGGCATAATAGGCTCTCGCTAGTGTAACTGCCACCAGGATTGCTGCGTACAGTGACCAAGAGCCTCGGCACTTCTGAAGGTGAGTGCTACCACTCCTCCTGGGGTTTACAGGTGGAGCCCGATTTCTCTCCACAGTACCTGGAAGCCACTGGTACCTCCAGCTGGGACAGGGCTGCCAGTATGTGCACTCGCAAAACGTGTCAGGAGCTCCCATTGGTGGTTTTGGCACACAGAAAACTCCAGTCCCTGAAAATTTCCTAGTTCCGAATTACTTAAAGAATGTATCACCACTTTGTTTTAGAGAATGCACTTATATTTTATGGGTATTAAAGCAATGTCAGCTGAGGCTTGGAGAAATGTAGATTGGCACAAACTTTCAGGGGGATATTTTGGTAAATAACATTTAAAATATTCATACCCATCTGATCCAGGATTCCAACTTTCCGAGACTTATTTTATAGAAACACTTCCACATGCAAAATTATACTTGGGAATCATTGGAAATGAGAAACAACTAACCATCTATAGAGAAAGGCTAAACCACAGTATAATTCACCCACAGTGAAGACATGTCACTGTCACTGTCACAATGGGGATTTGTGAGTACTCACGTGAGTGGGTCCAAGGTAGAGGACTAAAACTATCTATCTACACATTATTATTTAATGTGATACAATAGGCTCATTAACAAAGGCATGCATCCGTTTGTTAGTGGTAATCCTGGAGACACGGGTGAGGTGAGAGTGCGGGAATTCGCCTTTGCTATGTTCAATTTGTTGTAATCCCTGTCACGTATGCTGTCCACAAGGGCACGCACAGGCGTGGCCAGGGCACCCACGCCTGTGGGCAGTGCCCTGCTCTCACCTTCAGAAGGCGGCCCCAGCAAGTCAGTGGAGCCCAAGGAGACTTCTCTGTGGGTCCTACAAGCTGGGGTTCACGTGTGTATATGGGCACCCAAGTCTGCAGCTCCAATAGGGCTCTACTTGGAAGGCTTTTGCTTCTATACTTATTTTGGGGAAAATAAGCTGTAATAGTATTCAGCAAATGTTCAAAATATTTCACGGAGGGCTTTCCAAGGTAGTAAACGGATCTTGGCTGGGACTCAGGGGACTGGGGGCCAAATCCCACCAGGGAGGGACAACAGTAGCTGCCTCCCTGCTCTACAAGGTGGCTGTGAAATGAGAAGCGCTTTGGATGGAAAATGACCTCCCAAACTAAAGCACACAGGGCAACCAGCGCCACTGTTCTGTGTCCCACGGGGACCGCAGAAGGTCACCTGGGACAGGGCAGAAACTGCACCGAGGGTGGCACACACTGCTGAGGAACTGGGAAGGACTGTGGGAGGGACCTCGGCCGCCCTCTGTCACACACTAAGTAAGGGAGGTTCTGCATTCCCCCTGCGAACTCACACGGCAGCACAGCCAGCAGGGAAGACACAGCACCGGGTAGGGTAAGAAGCCACCGATCCCAAGCGCCGCCGGAGCTTCGGCTCCAGGCAGAGGGGTGTATGAAGTCGGGGTGCTGAGGCCTGCACGAGGCTGCTGCACGTGACTGCAGCGCGAGCCTGCTGGAGGACACAGCCAGGCTCTTGCCGATGGGGGTGGGGGGACCGCCGGAGGGCAGGGGCGAGTGGCCAGCTCACGGCTCACCCGACCCCAGTCATAGAAATTCTGAGAGTTAGGATTTCTGTTCAAACCTGCGGGCGCCTACCTGGTTCTGTACAGGTCACGTGGTCCATCCTCCAATTTATCCCTATGGAACTGATCAACTTCCCGTGGCGCAGCCGTCCGCTACTGTGCCACGCTGCGGGAGTCACGGGCAGGTGGCGGGCAGCACTTCATCCAGTGACCTCTCAGACAAAGGGACAGGGCAGGTGGGTGGATGGAGATCAGATTCATACATTTGCTTTTCTCTTTTTTTTTTTTTTTTGCAGCCGGAGGAGCCGCGACAACATGCAGAAACTGAAGCCAGGTAGGGGTGGGGTTGGTGAAAAGGGATGGGGCTTACTGCTTTCTTTTGATTGGGAGGAAAATTGTGGCTGAGTATGGTTATATGCATTTCCTATTTATTGCCCTTCTCATTTTGGCTCCTAAGCACTTTCCAAAAACAAGGTGAGCCCACTCATGCCGGTATGCTCAACACCCTGGGAGGCTGAGGCAGGAGGATCACAAGTTCAAGTCTCCCTTGGGCAACTTAGTAAGACTGTCTCAAAATAAAACATTTTACTTTTTTTGTTTATTTGTTTTCCAGTACCGGGGAATCAAACTTACAACCTCAAGCTTGCCAGGCAGGCGCTGTGCCCCTGAGCTAAATCCCCAGCCACTCAAAATAAAACATTTTAAAAAGGGCTGGGCAGCTGGGTGTGGTAGCGCATGCCTGTAATCCCAGCACTTGGGAGGCTGAGGCAGGAGGATTGTTGTGAGTTCGAGACCAGCCTGGGCTACGAAGTGAGCTCAAGGCCAGCCTGAGCTGCATATCGAGACCCTGTCTCAAAAAGACCAAAAAATAAATAAATAAAAAAAATA